AGATTTCTGGTGTAGAAATAATATGACACATTATTTTCATGACCTAGTCTATGGTAATCAATACAGAACAAACAAAATGAGCACATCAGTATCTTTTAAATGTGCACGAATTTGCTTGGGATTTTTCTATTTCAGGAATGTACAGTCCAGAAATAGTTAGCTGCTTTCAGTTTGATATGCCAAAAATTGAGTAATTTTCTTGAACATATGTTTTAGAAATTTCTGGAGAAAATAGTGTGCAAGCAATAACTCATGGAGAATGTATTCAGTGTACAATATAAAAGATAAGCTGATCTGAGGTATCAAAATTAGAGAGTCTATTTCTAGTACCTAAGAAAGAACAGTTTGTTTTTGCCGATGGTGCTTCTTTTTTAACATAAAAATTTCAGTACTTTTGCAGGAGCTTAGAGTAGTTAGACATGGGAAAGACTTTCAGGAGTTGCCTGTTACTTGTCACCTGTACATGACTGACTCTGGCCCTGGTTTCAGAGACTCCATCAAATGGGTTAACACTTACCTTTTTACTGCCCACTGTTTAAAATTTAGTCTCTTTCATTTCCCACTGTAAGTATTTTTATCAAAGCCAAATTCAGAAATTTATGATATTTCATTTCTCTATTTTTTTATTCTTAAAGTTGTAGGATACAATTCAGGGTTACATATACAAATGTTCATTGTACAGGTACCCTTGTTGATGATGATTTCATTTTTCTTAATTTTTTTTTCACCCCCTAGAAATTTACCTCAGTGTGTGTTTATACAGTAGCCAAGTCTCCTTGGCTATATAGAGTCCCATGGAGCATGATTGATTAATGGGATAGTTTATGGATTAGGCACACTCTAGTGGCTTTCTGCTTTCTCCTGTTCTTTAGTCATTTTCTAGCTCATGAATTATCTCCAACTAGAAGGAAGTAAAAGTAGTTGCTTTTTACTGCCGTATTTTTATGCAGACTTGAGGGCGATATATAGATGTTGTTTATCTGTGATGTACTTGTCTGCATTACTGTTGTTTACTGGGACTAATGATGCAAAGGGGCATGCAACTTCCTTGACAGAACTAAAATCTAAGTATCTTCTGAAATGGGCCCACCTTTACCATCACTCCTTCTTTACAATTGCAAGTACATCATCTGCAAGTCTCATTCTTGGAAAGAATGGTGAATAGTGTGGTACTAGTAAACCGTGTCTTGCATTTGTTAAAGTATTTATTGTCCTTTATCTATTTGTACTTATTTGACTATACTTAAATACCAGCTTCAGATTGTGTTATTTTAAGCACAGCTAAATGGGACTGTTGTTATATTTCATTGTGGACATAAATGACCTCATTTCTCTTTTTATCTAAATTTGAAATCAGCATGGATGTTTTATTTTATTGAATAGGTATATAAACAAAGACATGAGTAGATGAGATCTCCAGTTTTTAACATATAACAGTGATGAGAAGAATTATACATGTATTTTTTTATTTTTATTTTCTATTTTTTTGCTTTTCATTCTTTTTTAAAATTTTTGGTTTTAAAGATGAGGGGTACAATTCAGGGTTAGGTATACAAGTGTTCACTATGCAGATATAAGGGTGTACCCCTCCCCCACCGGCAGAATCCCACTGCTGCCAATCCTGCCTCCAAGGATTGTACATGTATTTAAAATGGCATTTTTCTATCTACAAAATGTTTCACCTGTGGAGTTGTTTCCATTGTCAACCCAAACTAAACTTATAACCTGGATCTACTGTAGATTTTTTTTGTGTGTGTGAAAGGACTGTTTACCCAGTGTGGAATATTTTCAGAACACTATTATTATTTTATTTTATTTTTTATTTTTTGAGTTGGAGTCTCACTCTGTCACCCAGACTGGAGTACAGTGGCCACTCCCGGCCACCGCAGCCTCAACCTGCTGGGTTCCGGCGATCCTTCCGCCTCAGCCTTCCAAGTAGCTGGAACTACAGGCACGCACTACCATGCCCAGCTGATTTTTTTTTTTATTGTAGAGATGAGGTATCGCCAAATTGCCCAGGTGGGTCTCGAACCCTCAGGCTCAGGCACTTCCCTCACCTTGGCCTTCCAAAGCACGGGATTACAGGCTGAGCCATTGAGCCCGGCCTATTATTTTATTAAAACTTATATTACACGTATAATTTATAATGGGTTAAAAGTATCTGTTTAAATGAAATAGAAAAATCTTGGAATAGTTTACCTTAATTTCTCATAATTTAAAAAAACAAAAAAGAATTTGTGATACAGAATTTTATGAAACTGGCTATGAAGTCCAATATATTTTTACATATTTTTATTTGTTGACTATTTAGTATGCCCACTATGTGCCAGCAAATGTGTTAAGTTTTGAGAGTACTGATAGGAATGAAACATAATTTCATGGGAACACAAAGTCCTGAGGAAATTAACAATAAGTGTATTGAGAACTGTGTTTCAGAAATGCAATAGGTGTTAGGAAAATGCAGAGGAAAAAATCCAAGAGCCCTGCAAGGTGTGGCAATGGAGGGAAAAGGATGCCAAAAATAATTCCGAGATAAGGAGCATTTACTGAGAGTTTAAGAATGATTAGAACAAAGGAAGGGAGCTGGAAGGAAAATGTAAAGCTTTCCAAGCAGGGAAACCTAATATAGCAAAACAGAAAGGGAAGGGAAAATGACACTTTTGAGGGACCAGCAAAATGATCTAGGACCAAGTCTGGATATTATGTAAGTATGAGCCCCTGACAGGTTTAGTATGGTGGTCGAAGATTTTGAACTTTTTCTGAAGGCAAGAGAGAATCATGGAAAGATTTTTAGGCAAAGTTGTATAGGGGTTTGCATTTAGAAAATTCTCCTGGCAACAAAGTTGGAAGAACTGATTAGAGGAAGGAGTATCCATTTGGAGGCAATTACAAGTTGGCCGTTAATAATCTAACAATCCCAAATCTGAAATGCTCCAAAATTTGAAACTTTTTGAGCACCAGTGTGAGATTAGTATCACCTTTGCTTTTTGATGGTTCAGTGTATACAAACTTAGTTTCATGTACAACATTATTAAAACATGATATAAAACTACCTTCAGGCTATGTGTATAAAGCATATATGGAACATAAGTGAATTTCATGTTTAGATTTCCCTCTCTGCTATAGAGGGAAAAGAACAAACCAGATGAGACTGGACCAAGAATGTGCTAAGCGGTTTTATTATTGTGGTAGTATGCAGAATGTAGTATAGGTAGTTTTATGCCAAATGTTACTAATGAGTATGCCCCCTAATTAAGTGAATTAGATATGTTAAACCCATACCCCAAGATCTCTAATGTATATGCAAATATACCAAATCTGAAGAAACGTGAAGTCCAAAATACTTATGGTTCCAACCACTTTGGATAAGGGATACACAACCTGTATAATAGAGAACATGATGAGTTAAGGCAGTGTGGATGAGAATGGAAAAGATAATTATTTCGAAGATGGAATTGACAGGACTTGACAATTCATGTCAGTCTAAGTGAGAGAAGAGTCAGCATCATTTCAAGAGCTGAGGGTGGTGATGCTGCCCTCTACTGAGAGGGGAGAGAATAGAAAAAAAGCAACAGAGGGAATATTATATTAAATTTTACTTAGGCACTTCCTGTATATCATGGGGCTTCCTAGTAGAGATGGCTAGTTGGCTGTTAGAAATTCAGATTTAATATTCTTAAATATAACTAAAAAGTGAAGAGAACGATGATATCAACTTAGGCAAGATTGTCTACTAAGAACATGTATATGTTCATGTAGTACTTACTGCATGTGGTACAGGTCTGTGTTCTAAATAAAAATAAGAGCTAAAAATGGAAACCTCGGGAAAAATACAAATATTTAAAGTACCAGGAAATTGAAGACTTCAAAATATTCTTGAGGAGTTGTGGTAAAAAAGCAAAAAGTGGAAAAGAAATGCTATGGAAACTAAGGGACAAAAGAGGTTAATTAAGACAAAGACACCTTAATATACTCATAGGAAATGTCTGAGAATATCCACTTCAAATGGTCAGGAGTGACTACCTCTGGGAGGTGGAGTTGAAGATAATAACAAAAGAACTGAGAGTTTTAATTTGTTATTTGGATTTTTAAATATGTATATTTTTACAATTTCTTATAAGTTTATAAGTATTTCAGAATAAATATACTTGTATGCTTATAAATATTTCAGGAAAAAAGTCATCTAAAAATGTCAGTTATAGTCCATTGAAAATAAAAAATAAATCAATAAAATAACCTTAATCAGAACAGAAAAAAGAGGGAAAGGGCAACATGGAGTGGTCAACAATGTCATACTGCAAATAGGTCACAAAAGATAAGGACTGACAGGAGCCTTTTAGCTTGGTATTTAGATTTAGTCACAAGTGACCTTATTAAAAGCAATTTCAATGAAAGGCTAAGGGCAGAAACCTGACTACAGTCATTGGAAGGCAGAAAGTGAGGACATGAAGAGGTGGCATAGTCATCTCAAAAGCAGAAGCTTGAGTATGAAGGAAGAGAGATACTAGGTAGGGAATAAGGGTTGAAGGTGAGTAACCCTTTTGCTCAAGGTCCTTATGGTGGTGAGAGACAGAGCCATATAGTCGTAGAGGTTTATTGCAAGTTCCAGGAATGTGAAGCAATGTGAGTAGTTGATGTGTCTAAAACTGGGATTTCTAAAACTGGGATTTGTAGTAAGTTTTATACACAATTGAAGACGTGTGTAATCTATACATAGTTGAAGAAGTTCTTGGAAGGAAAAAACCCAAGCTTATTTATATGCTACAGGTAGCAACCAGTAGAGTGCAAAAGCACTGAAGTACAGAAACTAGTTGAGGTACTTATTAATTTGAAAAGTAAATATACCTATTTCTAGGAGTGAAGTTTCATACAAAATGCAAAATTTGCCATGTTCCAAAGGCAAGGCTAACCAATATATTTTAAATACATTCAGATTAGAAAAAAATAAAGTCATATAACTAAGCTAGTACATTTCTTCTTTTTTTCTTCTTCTTCTAAAGCCGAACAACAACTTATCCATACACAGAAACGCAGATGTACAGCCAAAACACTGGAGGGAATTACTTTGATACTCAAGGGAGTTCCGCACAGGTGACCACTGTGGTCTCATCCCACAGTATGGTGGGCACTGGTGGGATTCAGATGGGCGTCACAGGAGGACAACTCATCAGCAGCTCTGGAGGAACTTATCTAATCGGCAATTCAATGGAGAATTCTAGTCACTCAGTGACACACACAACTCGGGCGTCTCCAGCGACAGTAAGTATTTGAGTTTTTAGTTATCTAATTTAGCTTCTAGATCTCCTCTAATAAACATTCTCTGCTATAGAGGGGAAAGAACAACCAGATAGAACTGGGGCAAGACAGTGCTAAGCTGTTTTATTGTTGTAGTCGTCTATATTATGCCAAGTATTATGGAGAAGTATGCCCCCTCATTAAGTGAATTAGAGTTTTTAATTTTACTGGGAAGCTAGGGAAGTGATTCTTGCTCATTAAACTGCTGACTTTAATAAGCTGTTTTTCATTATATTCAGTAAAATACTTTAATTTTCTACTGAAAGAACTTTTATATTACGCTTACTTTATGAGATAAAAACTAAGCAGTAACATAAAGAATAAAATATAATTTAGTTTGGAATTTTCACATCTTTTAACAGTAATCTTTATGCTAGCTCATCCCCAGAGACATTACTTTATGTAAGGCAGCATTTTCTAAACCTTAGACATTGAAATTTTCCATATTCACATATCATCTGTACTATTATTTACTTAATATATTTTTAAGGGATTCACTCACATTGAAAATAGAAAAGCATTTGTAATTTTTTGTAACACTTATTGAAATCAATACTTAAATAGTAAGATAAAAAATATTGACCCTTGTGCCATATGTAAAGTCATATTGTTTTTCACCAGGGAGATATTTTGGGAAGCATTAGTATAGGTGATTCAGATGAAAAGTATTTGTGTTGCTTCTGATCATAGTTATAAGCAAATAATGTCTCAGGAACATACTTACATATTTGAGTTAAATTTAATAAATATATTTATTTTGACACAATGAGTTTTACTTTGTTGAAACAATGTTATATAAATAGTAATAGAAAATTATTTAAAATTTGTTGTTATCAATCTCTGTAACTTGAACTTCCCTTTTTCACCTCAATTAAGCATATGAGGGGGAGTGGTAATTTAGAGCCATGCAGCTAAAGCCACAGTAGAATTTATTTTCTAGATGTTTCATGTAAGGCTACTGGGAATTTGAATTAAGTGAATGCACCCCATTCTCATCATCTCACTGTATAGTTTGTTCTTCTATTGAAATAGAGGTAGAAATAAATTTGGGAGAAAATAATAATATGAGAGACTTTATATTACTCATTTAATGAATTTTCTCCAGGATATTATATGTACTTGGTAAGTACTTCATATATACTTTGTGTTTGTAGTAATTACATGTGCTCAGACTTTCATCATTCAGTGCCTTTCCCTAATTCATTTTTTAAAACCTTTTAATTCACTATTTGTTACTAACATCAGAACAGATGACTAGCTATTCTAAGGGGAGTGTTCCTTTTTGTAATTTTTTCTTTGTGATTTTGAAGGTTTTCTTATGTGTATTTGTTGTCTGTTGCTTTTAATAGTAGTAAATACAGCATTTTAAAACCTTTTAGTTATACCAGTAGGTTAGAAACTAAAGGGAATTGCTACTAATAAATAATAGCTTCTTTGGACCTCGGTTCACCTATCAATAAAATAAGGGGTTAATTACACTAAATAATTTTCTAATTCCCTCCTAGCTTTAAAATAATAATATTTACAAAGGAATTATAAAGTATTCTAGATGTCAAAATAACTATATTTTTACAGTAAAAGGAATAGAAAAAGGGTCATTACTTGATAGTACTCCTCATAAAGGCCACCTAGAAAGTCATTTTGAGTGAAAGTACTTGCCATTTATGAAGACCTTAGGAAAACTGGAAAATGGGGCACTTGTGTCCTTTCCCACTCTCATTCCACCCACCCTTTATCATACTAGCGCATCATCCTTCAAAATCCCATTCCTTTCATCCCTCACCTTCTCTAGGCATTCCTACTTGCTTTCATGCTGATTTCTGATACCTGTTAAACAGCTTCATCAACTGGATTTAGGTTTGCTGAATTTACTAGTTCTCTCACTAAATTAACCAGATTGTTTATTCCAGCATGTGTAAACATAGCTGCAAACATTAACAGTGTAAATTTTATAGTTTAACCCTTTTTTTGGAGGGGTAAGGGAAGCACTTTGGTTTTCTGTAAAGGTATAAGAGGTGGCATTACTCCTTAAGTTATCAATTACACAAACTTGTGTGATTTTTATTATATAAATTGGCAAATTTATAACATAAGTATAACAACTGGGAATAGTTGAAAACTATTTTTAAAATACCAATGGATAATATCAATTGTACATATATATTAATTTTATACTTAAAAATATTCTTATTTGAGATTTCTTTTGTTAAGGATGAAACTTCTGTCTGAAGTGTTTATGTAAAAATTTTAATTAAAAAAAACCTTCTGTATGGAAAAATCAAAAGTTGACTTCGCCAAAGCCCATATTGATAGTGGTACATTTATCTAAATATAACCTCTGCTAGTGTTTATTGTATTACCTTGAATTTATTATGACAGGTGTATTTGATTTAGATGTCACTCTCAATCATACTGAACATCTTAATCCTCTTGATTCACAGTTAGGTTGTGATTCTCAGTTTACAGTTTCACATCTGCTACTGTAGTAAATTTAAAAAAGCCTAAGTGCCGTGAAATCTATTTAAGATTTCCTACCATTCGCCTCTTGCCAATGTTAGAAAATCTAGCCATAGATTTTTGATTGGTTTAACACCTAGAAATCAAACTTTTTTTAGTAGGTGCCCTGTCATTAAAGGGAATTTGCCTAGGTTCGTGTGTCTTTTTCATTTACTGTAGAACCACACAAAAGATTGTAAATGAGACAATCCTTAACAATTTGTAGGTCAAGACTCAAACTGTTTCTTTCCAAACATTGAACCCGGCTGTACCACACAACTTCAGGGTTTTTTTTTTGGGGGGGGGACACTGCTGTTCTTAGTGTTCAACCTATAACCTAAAGCATGTCTGATGCAACTAACTGTATAGTAGTAGCCTATACTGGTGGCCAGAATTACTGAGTTTGAATTCCAGTTGGGTCATTCCTTAAGGGCCTATAAGATAAGTAGAAGGTATAGTTAGTTAATTCAGTTTATGTGAAATTAGTTAAGTTTGGCTACTTCAGAATAGCACAAACCAAACAACTTTACTGAGTTCTTGTAGCAAAATTTTTTGCTCCAGTTCTCAGAATAATTACCTTGACACCCTGTCTTATATTTAACTGTATTTATATAGAAATTCTTTAAAATTATTAGGAATAATAGCTTATCCCAATATGTAAATCAGTTTCTTAAGATATGCTAATGAAAAAAGTTAATGATTTGAAATTTAAGCCACTATTAAGAAAAAAAAAATTAGCACTTGAAATGTTTTCTTATATTCAACATAAAACCTAGAGCCATCTTATACTAGAAGGCTCTCTGAATCATTAGCAGAGATATTTTATTTGAGCCTATGATTAATTTTATTCCTAGAACTTTAAATAAAAAAATATTTGACATAAAGTTATCTTAATATTTCATTTTTGGCTTATGCATTGTAAAATTTTTCAGTTTTCAAGGAACATAGCAATGTTAACGTTTTTCAAAAGATTACAATGGTAACAAATTTTATAAGTTGAGTATATTTTGGCACACACTAACAATATTCAGATTTAGTCAAAATACCATTTCTCCTTTTACTTTACTGTATTCTTTTATTTGATCAATAGAGTCCATGTGTTTATAAATTATATATTTTTTATGTATTTGTATACATGTGTTTTTCTAATATAAATCCACACATAGATTTAAAAGGCATCTCCTGTTGATAATGTTAAATAGTAATTTTCAGAAAGATTTATAACATTTTTATCGAATCATCACTGGATGTGGGTTTAGCTAAGTTGCAACCTGAATAAATGTTTTAGGTTTCATTAAATTAATGTTACAGATCTGTTTATTGTTAATATTTTAGTAGCACATGGACATTAAGGTAGAAAAGTTGGTTACAGTTATTAACTCCGAACTCGTACACTTTCCTTCTAATTATATCAGCATAATGTTTCCTTCTGTGTCTTTAAACTCTAAAGTACTTTTCTTGATTACTTTTCTGTACAGTCTTAATATTTATAGAATTGTATAGTTTTGGAACCTGAATATAATTTGTATTTTAAAATCAAAGATTCATTTATGTAGTTAGTGATTTTTTGTGTGTGCTCATAACTGCTTAGTTTATTTTATACCAGACTATATAATTATTAGCAGTTTGCTTTAAGAAAATTTATTTATTTACTCTTCCATAAAATAATATTTGTATTGTAATTAGATGGCTATTTAATGGACTTTTTTTCTTGATAACTAAATAGATTACATTAATCTTTTTTGAGACTGTGATATGAAAATTAACTTTAACACCTTTATGGATATACATTTAGTAATTATATATTTTAATGGACACTTGCTAAAATTAGATCCCACCAAGAGGCACAAGAAAAGTGTGTTTGAAATTAATAGTATTCATATTTCCATCTCTTTTGATTGATGTAAACTATTATAATTCCTTTAATTATCTGGAGGAAAATTTGAATGTCTGCCTTCTCCATATAAGTAAAAGTTTAGCTATACATACATTATTTATAGAAAATTAAGAATTTACTTAAGAATTATAGATGTTTTTGTTTTTTTATTATTGGCTTTACAATAATTGGTTTATGAATTTGGTATAAGGAAATACTTCCTCTAAGAATACAAATATGTTTAGTTCCCTAGAAAATAATTTTTCCTCCTTGTTTGTTTGCTAGTCTGGTACCAATGGCCATCAGCTTTCTTTTAAAATTTTTATTAATTTATTTATTTGAATTAGTTATACATTCTTAAAGTTGTGCATTCAAAAGATTCAAGAAGGTGCACTAGTCTCTCCCTATTACCCAATTCTCTTCCTTAGAGGCAACCAGTGTTACAAAGATCTTTAAGTATCATTTTAGAAATATCCTATGAATATACAAGCAGAATATATCTTTCTCCTTCTCCTTCCCAAATTTTTTTTTACAGAAATGATAACAAATATACTGCATGTTTTCTCCCCATCTAACAGTGTATATTAGATTT